GCTGCCACCACCGTGCTTCACTGTGGGGATGGTGTGTTTGTGTGTTTGGTGTCTGACAAACATGACCTCTGGTCTGATGGACAAAAAGTTCCATTTTGGTGTCATCGGACCAAAGAACCTTCTTCCAGTTGACTTCAGAGTCTCCACATGTCTTGGGGTGAACTCTGGTCCGGCACATTTAACACAACAGGGGTTCAACTAAATTCTAAATCACAACCTATAAGACAGAAGTACAGTGAGTGTAATCCTTGAAGCTTCAGTAAAATCAGCTGGATTTCTCTTTCGTCTTCATTTCCAATCCAAGAGGTGTCTTCATTTCAGATGTTATGTAGTTAAAGTATGTATAGAACACTGATTCCGGCCTGTTTTCTCCATCTTGCCTCCAGACGACTACGTCCACATCTCCAGCAACCCCTGCGACCTCCACTGCACCACCGCCGACGGCCAGAGGCAGCTGATGGTGACGGCCCGAGACGGGACTTCCTGCAAGTACAGCAGCTACCGAGGCGTCTGCGTGGACGGTAAGTGTGAGGTGAGTCCAGCTTCTTCTTTACTTTAAACCCGCTTCACTTCCAGAAGCTCCCGTTGTGGAGAAACATCTTGTAGATTTTAGCAAAACACTGCAAACCGAGGCTTGTTACGGACACAGACGCTGATTTCACTTTGTTTATACCTTGATTGGGGCTTTTATTTTCAGGTTCACATCCCTTTATGTGCTTTTTTCTGTCATTTTACAGCATTCTGTTCTGATCTTGTCATTATATAAACTGGTTGTTGTGGTTTAGAGCAACACAATCTGACCCACTGAGCACAGAAATAATAGAAGCCTGTAGGATTTAATGGTTTCTTTTACATCATATAATAGTTTCTATAACACAGCAACTTTATGCATTTTATATCTGTAGGATTAAAAGTGTCTGAGTTCTCAGTTACATGAATATTTAAAAAAAAAACAAAAAAAACAAAGAAAGTGTACCGGTAACTACTGGATTCTTCTTTAAGTCGATGGAGAAGCCAAAAAACTTTTCAAAACAACCTCTCTACCACAAATAGACAATGCATGAAGCAGAAAACAATCAATTTCTGCAGCTGAGGTTGCATCCAGGTATGAACAACCTACAGCGAGAGTTTTCAAACAGACAAAACACTCATTGAAGTTCAGAGCAGAAGGTCAGCTCTGTTAAACCTCATTAAAACTCCTTTTACACGTGTTGTTTGTAGATCCACAGTGTGATGAGGGTCAAACGGAGGCGTGAAGCAACGATCTGACGGCGTTTTTATTTTCTAAGGCTGCAGAGGTGCCGATATTTTCACCTCCTGCGTCTACTTTTGCTTTTCACGTTGCATTCGAGGTGGCAAACATTCAGGAATCACGTCTTCCCAAACATCCTGACGGTAAACTGCTCCGGTAGCGTGACACTTTACAGAAGCTTGTTTGATTCTCTCCGTTTTGCCGCTCAGCCCATCGGATGCGACGGCGTTCTCTTCTCCTCCAACACTCTGGACAAGTGTGGAGTCTGTCAGGGCGACGGCAGCAGCTGCAGCAGGGTCACCGGAAACTTCCGGCGCGGAGCCACGACTCTGGGTGAGCCTCAGCCGAGCCTGGAAACGATCAGGAACCACTTTCACATCGGAGACTTTGTCTGATATAAACGTTTAGTGAAGCATGATGGTTGCAGTTGTACTGGTTGGACTGGTGAGGAAGAGCTGGAGGGTCATCACGTTCCTTCTGCTCAACCACCTCTGATGGATCTGAAACCTTTTCATCATAAACTACAGATATTTAAAATGGTATCTGAGAAGTTTTAGATTAATATATTGAATACTTTGTGAGATAATTGTTTCTCAAAACTACCCGTCGACCCACTTTCACACTAAAACTTGAGGCTGTTTGAATGACAACATCTCAGAAACTGTTGAAGATAAAAACCTTAAATTTTCACTGTTATTTCTCATCATGTCTTTGATTCAGAATCTGTGATACTGGACACGTGGATCAAATATAATCTGATCATGTGAGTTGAAATATGAAAAAACATGAAGAACATCATGAAAAGTTCCATCTTTGAGCTCATATTTTTAATTAAAAATTAACAACGCAGACGTCATCTAGTGATATTTTCTGAACCACGTGATGTTTCATGTCCCAATAACACAAAACTAAACATAGAAAATACTTTTAATGTGAAATACCGGGTCACAAATAAACAAAGTAGAAGTTATAATTGATTTTTAATGTGTTCTCTCTTTACATGATGGTTTAAACTCATCCCAGATTATTTGATCCACTTGTTTGATATTACAGATTCTGAATCAACAACATGATGAGAAATAACTGAGAAGATTTAAGGATTTTATTTTGAATACTTTCTGACGTATTGTTGTTCAAACAAACACTCTCACAACGCACAGAAACACCTGCTGAATGTGGGCCGTCAGCTCATTTTTAAAATGCTTTATCTTAAAAAATATCAAAGTTATTAAGCTTAAATTTCACAGATATCTCTATGAAAGTCTAGATTTTATGCTTCAGGCATAGTCAGAGATGTTGGGAAATGTTTTTCAAGGTTTGATGATTTGCGATGGAATGACGCTAAATTAAAAAAAGGCAGGTGGTGACGTCTTTCTGTTTCTTGTCTTCAAGGTTATTCGTTCATCACTCAAATCCCTGAAGGGTCCTGGGACATCCAGATCATCGAGAGGAAGAAATCGGCCGATGTTTTAGGTACGACCCGCCTCCTCATTTCACAAGTAAACGTAAACGAAGCGCTAGAATCTTCAGTGCAGCGTTTCTGTCCTCCCCCAGCCGTCACTGACCAGGCAGGAAACTTCTTCTTCAACGGCGCCTACAAGGTGGACAGTCCCCAGAACTTCCACGCAGCCGGAACCGTCTTCAAGTACCGCCGACCCATGGACGTGTACGAGACCGGGATCGAGTACATCGTCGCCAAAGGCCCCATCGACCAGGCCATCAACATCCTGGTAAACCTGCTGCCTCCTCAGCGTGTTCGACAGAGTTCAGACGTGTGACGGATCAGCTTCTGTACAGATGCTGACAAGTCTTATTGTGAATGTGGACAAAACGTTGTGGGATGTTTTCCCAGCAGGAGGATGACTGGACGGACAGGCAGGTGGAGTGAAGCCAGATTGAAAGGCGAATTATCTTTTTAAAAAACACCATTTGTTGGAGTCAGAAGCTGAAAAAATACGATCAACAAGTGTTTTGTTTTAGATTTTCCAACCGTTCATGGAGGAACCGTGTGTGAGACGCAGTTCTGTCAGGAAGAAAAAACCACATCGAATAATAAAATAGAGGCATTTAATCAAAATCACTTTGTTTAGTAAATTCTTAACAAAAAACCAACAGTCATGAGACTAAATTTTTAGTGTTCGGTTTAATTGCAGGCAGTGTTTCCACAGAAAGAGAATCAAACCATTTATTTGTTGACCAACAAAGTGCAGAACCCTCATTGTTGTGGCCTATAGTGACATTTTCTGTCTTCATGTTGAGTGGATGAAGACATTTGGTTCCTTTACATTTTACAAGCTGACAAAGAGGAAACCACACATGCTGTGATCTTCATTCCAACGTATACATGAAGCACAGCTCCAGCTGGAGGATTGTTGTTTGAAATGAGAGAATAAAGATGTTGTGGAGAATGCAGCATCGATCCCGCTACCTCTCACATGCTAAGCTAGCGCTCTAGCATCTGAGCTAATTCCCCTCATGTCTGAAAGGAACAGGCTGCAGAACATCTCCAGCTGTCTTTAGGTTTCTTTGACGTATTGTTCTGATATGATTTAACGTCACATTTACATGAGGAAACATTAAGAACTCTGTAGAAACGGGGGTCTGGCTAGCTGCTCTGTTTCCACAGAGCTACAGGACTTTATGTTGCAGTGAAAAATGAATCACAGTGAAGACAAATGAGACAACAGCAAAAAACTGTTCTGGATTTTAGTCTGTTTCAGTTCGAGAATTCTTCAGTTTCCTCAGTTCAGCATGACGTCAAATCACACCAAAATCATTTTCAGCAGCCTGTAAGACATGAGGGGGATTAGCTCAGATGGTAGAGCGTTAGCTTAGCATGTGAGAGGTAGCGGGATCGATACCCGCATTCTCCACAACATCTTTATTCTCAGAACAGAGAAGGAAGTTTTTGGAGATACATCCAGCTGATGGTGGAACATCTTTGTACAGCTGATGAGCAGAGAGGAAACGTCTGGAAACATGGAGATAGGTCCATATCTATAGACCAGGGCTGTCCAATCCTGGTCCTCGAGGGCCACAGTCCTGCATGTTGTAGATGTTTCCTTCTTCCAACGCACATGACTCAAATGATCAGGATTGTTATCAGGCTTCTGCAGAACTTGATGATGAGCTGATCAATTCAATCAGGTGTGTTGGAAGAGGGAAACATCTACAACATGCAGGACTGTGGCCCTCAAGGACCAGGATTGGAGACCCCTGGTCTAAGTTTAGTGGAAATAGTTGTGCAGTCTGACCTGTGACCTTTCCAAGAGAACCACACTTACACTTCTGTTTTCAGCAACACATCTCTAAAAGCCTTCAGATTTACTGAAACTTTACAAGATTTGTTGTGGAGGCCTGATGGATACTTTATCTAAACTACCTCTCGCATGCTAAGCGAGCGCTCTACCATTTGAGCTAATCCCCCTTAGAGGCTTTACCAGCTTTGTCAGAACTTGAGGCTCCCTCTGGTACAGACACGTGGTTACGTTCATTAGATTTCTGTTTATGTCCTTCCTGAATCTTGACCCGGTCTCCTCTGACCACTCCTGTCTCCAGGTGTGGAACCAGAACGGTCGGACCCCCTACATCACCTACGAGTACACCGTCCTCAGAGACTCCCTGCCGCCGGTGCCCCCTCCCCCGGTCTACACCGGGTCGGACACCTCGGCCGGGGAGGTCTCCGTGGAGGTGGGAGGCTTGCTGGCTCCCAACAGCAGCGTTTACGACCAGGTGGCTCCCGGGGGTCAGCTGGACGCCGGAGGTAGCGACGGCCAGAAGGGCCAGGAGACCAACGAGGTGTACGAGGAGACGGCGGCCATCGACTGTGACCAGGACGGAGCGGCTGCACCCAAATTCACAGGTAGGGGGCGCCCTGTAGTTTATGTACAAGTTAGCTGTGTTGTCTTGTGCAGTGATACTCTGCTCCCAGTGCTCCTGCAGCACTCCCTGTTCACTCATTCAGACCTTATTTATGCAAACTTTTTCATGAAATGCATAAAGTGAACAAGAATGCACTAAACTAACACAAACACCATCATGTTATCAGTAAAGGACGCTAAAACGCCACAGGGGTTGAGGAACTAAAGGGGGACTCTATCATAAATGAAACTCGTCTTTAAAGTGTCAGAAAACAGTTTAAGGCGTCGGTCGGTGTTTCCCAAAGTCCAGGATGATAAAATATCTTGTTTTGTCTGAAGATATTCAGTTTTACTGTCACCAAGGCAGAACAAAACAAGAACATATTCACATTTAACACAACAGGAATCTGAGAATTTAGACTTTTTCTTTTGTAGAAACCAGTTAATTGCTCAGATCAGAATATCTCTCCATGAGTTTAACTGTGGACAGCTTGTTGATTCATGGACTCATTAAAGCAGCTCTGTTACAGACGCACCTCGCTGTGTATGAACACACAGATTATAACTGGATCAAATGCAGTTATTCAGTGTGGTAGAGCTGCTTTTGCACCTCATGCAACAAGAAAATCACTACAAATACAATATATTTTTTAAAAAACAGTATCAAAAGAGTTTTATTAAAACAGAAATAATATGAAATAAAGATATGAAGCAATAAAAGAGCAATAAGAAGCAAAGCAAAAGAACACATCAACCAGTATTACCTTCTAGCAGGAATTAGTGTTTTGTATTTTGTCAATAATCTGGGTTTTTATTCTTCTTCTGAGGACATAAATGCATTTTGTTTCATTTAAATGAGCAAAAATAGATATTTGCTGGTAGTAAAGGTGAAAATTGTGTATATTAAGGGTTGAAAAATAGGAAATAATTGTTTATTTGACAGATTTTCTTTCTGTTTTTTGCTAAAAAATAAAATAAAGATAAGTAGTAAAATCATTCACTTGTATTTTTATGTTCTTCTGAGGACATACTTTTTTTTTTTTTTTACAGTATTAAAATGAGCAAAAATAGATATTTGCTGGTTTTAAAAGGGGAAAGTTGTGCATATTAAGGACTGGAAAATGGGAAATCATTTATGTTGCAGATTTTCTTTCTGTTTTCTTAAATGAAAAACTCGTAAAATCACTGACTTCAAAACAAAAGAAAGAAAGAAAGAAAACTGTTCAACTTAAACAATCTTTATACTTAGTTTTTGACCATGACAGCATTTTGCGCTGATTTCTGTTCATCTGTCATAAGATGAGGTCGTCCACATGGCGGGCGGGTAGCATGAGGCGGAGGATGAACCAGGAGGTGTTTCCCATCAGCAGATGAAATAGGTCAGATTTCTAACCCTCCGCCTCGCTCCGTTCCCCCCTATGTGTGCCAGATATGCGGCCTTTTGGAGTTTTGCATTATTCACGCCGCGGATACGTAAAGAGGATCAGCGGCGGATGAAAAATTCAGACCTCGGTGGTGTTTTCGCCTTTTAGAAAACGTCCGCATCGCCGCCGACATGAGCGGTAATGGAACTTCCTGCCGCCGCTGATGGAGCGCTGAGAGGCGGCGAGCATCCTCACAGGCTGACGTCAGGCCACACAGAAAACACTCTCTGCTCTTCATTCATTCACTCCTGCAGAAATCTCTTCCAAAAGTCGTCAGCGCAGACCTGCAATAAATAACACCTGCACCATACAGAGAAATCCAATCCTGCTGCCGGAGACAGAATCTGGTTTGTAGCCTTTAAGCTGCTGAAACTCAAGCCTTCCTTTGTTCTCCTGTCACGTCTTTTCTCTGCAGCATAAAGTCCTGCACATCTCTGGAAACCAACAACGCTGCAGCAGAAATAGTTCTAAACATCTGATGACTTGAAATGGAGCGATGCAGGAGGTGCCGTCCTTCTGGGTCCACATCGGTTCGTTTGTACTTGAATGGGTTGTAATCTGTTTCCTCCACTGTGGTCCGTCTGCAGGAAACAGCAGCCACGCAGGCAGCACCGCCAAGCCTGCCCCCGACGGTGGCGCTCTGGATCCAGGCCCAGATTCACCCAACCTCATCTGGAGGGTTCTGCTGGACGGTCGGATCGGCCCGGACGAGCTGCTGATCAACATCTCCACCAACCAGCTGCTGACGGAGGGCGACGGACTGTTCTCGTCCGAGGTGGGACCGGCGGAGGTGGGCAGCCTGGAGCGGGGAGGTCCGTTCGACCTAAACGAGACGATGGCGTTCACGCTGGGGAACAAGCGCAACGACAGCGGAGACAACGTCAACCAGAACAAGACGGTGCAGGGCGGAGGGAGGACATCAGGCCGCTCCAACAGAACCAGGTAGTCCAGCAGACCCAGGTAGTCCAGCAGAGCCAGGTAGTCCAACAGACCCAGGTAGTCCAATAAACCCAAGTAGTCCAACAGACCCAGGTAGTCCAACAGACCCAGGTTGTCCAGAAAAGCCAGGTAGTCCAACAGAACCAGGTAGTCCAGCAGACCCAGGTAGTCCAACAGAACCAGGTAGTCCAGCAGACCCAGGTAGTCCAACAGACCCATGTAGTCCAACAGACCCAGGTAGTCCAACAGACCCAGCTTGTCCAGCAGACCCAGGTAGTCCAACAGAGCCAGGTAGTCCAACAGACCCAGGTTGTTCAGCAGACCCAGGTAGTCCAACAGACCCAGGTGTTCCAG